TCCAGAGTGTTGGGATTATAGGCGTGGGCCACTGCACCTGGCTAAATTTTTGGCTCCTTCCCCTTCCTTCCCCTCCCCTCCCCTTTCTGTTTTTTTGTTTTTTTGAGATGGAGTCTCACTCTGTTGCCCAGGCTGGAGTGCAATGTCACCATCTCAGCTCACTGCAACCTCTGCCTCCTGGATTCAAGTGATTCTCCTGTCTCAGTCTCCCGAGTAGCTGGGATTACAGGCGCCCACACCACACCTGGCTAATTTTTGTGTTTTTAATAGAGAAGGGATTTCACCATGTTCACTCTCAAACTCCTGACCTCATGATCTGCCCACCTTGGCTTCCCAAAGTGCTGGGATTACAGGAGTTAGTCACTGTGCCGGCCTAAAGTTTAATTCCCAGAGCAGTTTTAGGTATACAGCAAAATTAAGCAGAAAGTATACCCAGCTCCCATATAGCCCCTCTCACCCACACACCCACCCAGCTTCCCCCATCATCAGCATTCCCCACTAGAATAGTACATTTCTTATGATCAGTGACCCACATTGTCACATCATTATCACTGAAAATCCAGTTTTGGGTTCACTCTTGGTGCTGTACATTCTTGTATCCACTGTTATGGTATCATACGGAGTATTTTCACTGTCCTAAACATCATCTGTGCTCTGCCTATTCATCCCTCCCTGCCCTAACCCCTGGCTATTTTCATTGTCTCCATAGTTTTGCCTTTTCCAGGATGTCATGGAGTTGGAATTATGCAACTTTCAGATTGGCTTCTGTCTTATAATCAGTTTTCTGTTGCTTATAGCAGACTACCCGAAGCTGAGTGATTCATAAAGAAAATTAATTTATTTCTTTGTTTTGAGATAGGGTCTCACTCTGTTGCCCAGGCTGGAGTGCAGTGGCGGTGGCATAATCACCGCTCACTCAGCCTCAACCTCCCAAACTCAAGTGATCTTCCCACCCAGCCTCCTGAATAGCTGGACTACAGGCATGTACCACTATGCCCAGCTGATTTTTGTAGTTTTTTTCTAAATAGATGTGGCGTTTTGCCATGTTGCCGAGGGTGGTCTCAAATTCCTGAGCTCAAGGGATTCCCCATCTCGGCCTCCCAAAGTGCTGGGATTACAGGCATGAGTCACTGCACCTGGCCAGAATTTCTTACAATTATGGAGGCTGGGAAGTTCAAGGTCCAGGGGGTGTGTCTGATGAACGCCTTCTTGCTGGTGAGGACTCTGAAGTGTCCCAGGCGTCACATGACAAGGGGACTGAGCATACTAACTGCTAGCACAGGTCTCTCTTCTTCTAGTTATTTTTTAGAGATGGGATTTTGCTATACCCAAACTCCTGGGGTCAAGCAGTCCTCCCACCTCAGCTCCCCCAGTAGTTAAGATTACAGGTGCACACCACTCTAACCGTGAGGATCTTTTCATGTGCATCCTTGCCATCTGGATATCTTTTTTGGGGAGGCGTCTGTGGAGGTCTTTTGTCCATTTTATTTTAGACAGGGTCACATTCTGTTACCCAGATTGGAATGCAGTGGTGTGATCACAGCTCACTGTAGCCTCAAGTAACTCTTGGGCTCAAGAGTTCTTCCTGTCTCAGCCTCCTGAGTAGATGAGACTACAGGCATACACTACTATGCCTGGCTGATTTATTTTTTGTAGAGGCAGGGTTTCAATATGTTGATCAGGCAGGTTTCAAACTCATAGCCTTAAGAGATCCTCCTGCCTTGACCTCCCAAAATGCTGGGATTACTGGTGTGAGCCACTACCTTTTGTCCACTTATTTTATTTTTTTTTTAATTTATTTTTATTTTAATTAATTTTTTTGTTTTGTTTTTTGTTTTTACAAAGATGGGGTTTCACCATGATGGCCAGGCTGGTCTTGAATTCCTGACCTCAGGTGATCCACCCACCTCGGCTTCCCAAAGTGCTAGGATTACAGGCGTGAGCCACTGCGCCCAGCCTTGTCCACTTTTTTAAAATTTGAGACACAGTTTCACTCTTGTTATCCAGGCTGGAGTGCAATGGTGTGATCTTGCCTACTGCAACCTCCACCTCCCAGGTTCAAGCGATTCTCCTGCCTCAGCCTCCTGAGTAGCTGGGATTACAGGCATACAGCACCACGCCTGGCTAATTTTGTATTTTTAGTAGAGATGGGGTTTCTCCATGCTGGTCAGGTTGGTCTCAAACTCCTGACCTCAGGTGATCTACCTGCCTTGGCCTCCCAAAGTGCTGGGATTACAGGCATGAGCCACTTCGCCCAGCCATGGAGTGTTTTGACCTGCTCCATTTCCAACTTGGGCTGGCTCCCCCTTCCCTAGGGAACCTAGTGGTTCCCACCTCCTGGGATATCACCATATTAATGGCAAACTTAGTGCAGACACTTGATTGGCATAGCCCAGAACTACAGCCCTGAACTGGATTCAAATGATCCACCTGCCTTGGACTTCCAAATAACTAGAACTACAGGTGTGAGCCACTGAGCCTGGCTTGTCCACTTTTTTGTAAAATTTTATTTTATTTTTATTTTTTTTGAGACGGAGTTTCGCTCTTGTTACCCAGGCTGGAGTGCAATGGCGCGATCTCGGCTCACCGCAACCTCCGCCTCCCGGGTTCAGGCAATTCTCCTGCCTCAGCCTCCTGAGTAGCTGGGATTACAGGCACGCGCCACCATGCCCAGCTAATTTTTTGTATTTTTAGTAGAGACGGGGTTTCATCATGTTGACCAGGATGGTCTCGATCTCTTGACCTCGTGATCCACCTGCCTCGGCCTCCCAAAGTGCTGGGATTACAGGCTTGAGCCACCGCGCCCGGCCAATATTTTATTTTTATTTATTTTTGAGACAAAGTCTGATTGTCACCCAGGCTACAGTGCAGTGGCTGATCTCAGCTCACTGCAGCCTTTACGTCCCTGGTTCAAGTGATTCTCCTGCCTCAGCCTCTGGAGTAGCTGGGATTACAGGCATAGGCCACCACACCTGGCTATATTTTTGTATTTTTAATACAGACGGGGTTTCACCATGTTGACCAGGCTAGTCTCAAACTCCTGACCTCAGGTGATCTGCCCACCTCAGCCTCCCAAAGTGCTGGGATTACAGGTGCCTGCCACTGTGCCCGGCTAATTTTTGTATCTTTTTTCAGTTAGAGACGGGGTTTCACCATATTGGCCAGGCTGGTCTCCAACTCATGACCTCAGGCGATCCACCTGCCTTGGCCTCCCTAAGTGCTGGTACTACAGGCATGAGCCATCGTGCCTGGCCCTGGCCGTAATTTTAAAATTTATTTGTTTGGTGATAGAGACGAGGTCTTGCTATGTTGCCCAGTCTGGTCTCCAACTCCTGGGCTCAAGTGATCCTTCCACCTTGGCTTCCCATAGTGCTGGCTCACACTTCTCACAGGTGAAAGCCACTGGCCCTGTTTCAATTAATTTTTGTGAAGGGTCTGTGTCTAGCCTGATTTTTTTGCATGTGGACGTCCAGTTGTTCCAGCACCATTTGCTGAAAAGACTTTTCTCCGTCGCATCTCCTAGAGTCCAGCTCAGTTGACTGCATTCTGTGGTTTATATCCAGGTTTTCTATTCTGTTCATAGACCCATTGGTGTATTTTTCCACCAGGGCCACAGTGTGCCAATTACTGCCGCCTTCTAGTAAGTCCCGCAATCCTTGTTTTTTCGTGGGGGGCACAACTCAACCCATACAGGGCGCAGCACCTGTGCAGGGACAGCAGCGGAGGCAGCGCGGCAGGGGCGGTGACCTGTGCCCCTCCGGGTGGCTGGAGGTGGGGTCCGGGGAGGCAGAACGCAGGCTGGGCGGCAAGACTCTCCTTCGGGGAACGCGGAGGCGTACTTAACAAAGCTTCTCTCCGTGACCCAACTCGCCAGGCAGTCCTGGGCCTCTTCTCAGCGAGGCCTCCAGCGGGGCCTGCAAAGCGCGAGCAGACGCGGCTCAAGGCCAGGGTGTCCCCGGTCCCCTGAACCCGCCTGACAGAGAAGGCCAGGCTGCCGACTCCGGCAGCACCTGAGCAGGAGCGAACTTCCGTGAGCGCTGGGCGGCGATCACCCCGGCCTCCGCGGCCCGGCCCGCCCGCTTTTTGCAGCGTCTGATTTCCCGGCTCGCCCGCGCCCTTCCTCCGCCTCCTCCCAGAGCCGCGCGCAGTCGGCCGCGCCTCCCAGGCCCGGCTCTACCGCAGCGGCGCGGGGCAGCGCGCCTGGACCCGCCGTCCTCCCGCAGCCGCGCCCTGCTCCGAGCCGGACCCTCGCCCGGGATGACTCGCTGTTCATGCCCTGCGGCGTTAGGCGGGAACAGCACGACGCCCTGCGCCGTCGCGGCTGACCCTGTCCGCCACGTCTGTGCTGAGGCCCCGGGCCCGCCACGGCCGGGCTTCTGCGGCGGTTTCCCCACCCGTCCCCGCACTGCCGCTCCGCGGAGCGCATCCCGCGAGGCGCACGCCGCCCGCCGCCTCTTGAGGGCCCCAGGCCCCGCGCCCCTCTCCCGAGACAGGAGCCCGGGGACCAGCGCGGGGCCGCCGCACGCCCAACGCCAGCCTCCGCGGCCGCGCGCCCACGACTCTGGGGCGCCGGCTCCGGGCGGTGATTGGGCGCGGACCGTGACGTCACTGCGCGCGGCACTAGGGGCCTCCCGGTCTGGGCCGGGTGCGCGCTGCTGAGTAGCGGGAGCGGGGCGCGCGGCTGGCGCTCCTCTGAGGCGGCTCGCGGGGCCCGCGGCCCTGCCCTCCCGGCTCTCCAACCCCCGCCCGCCCGCGGGGTCCCCACCCGCCGCGTGCCTGCCCGCCCCGCCTGTGCGCGGCCCCGGCGCGGATTTGAAAAGCCCGGTCCGCGGGCCCCGCGAGCGCGGCAGCCAATCAGCGGCGCGCACTTTTCCCGCGGCTTCTGCGAGGCGGCGGCGGCCCCGGCGGCGGCGGCGGCGGGCGGGAGGCGCGGGGGCGGGGTCGGCGCCGCGCGCGAGAGCCTCGGCCTGGCCGCGCTGCGCCCGCCGCCGCCGCCGCCCCCTCCCCGCCCGGGCCCTCCCGCCGCACGGCCCTGGCCCCCTCCCAGCCCGCCGCTCCGGAGAGCCGCCCGCCGAGGATGCGACGCACTGCAGGTCACTAGGGCGCTGGCCCAACCGTCGCGGGCCGCCAACCGCCGGGGCTGGGACTGGGTGGCCGGGCCGTGGGAGGCCTGAGGGGCAGCGGGGAGGACCGCGGAGGCCTGAGGGGCCGGGAGCGCCGGCAGGACCGGGGCACTGAGGAGGCCTGAGGGGCCGGCTCGGGGGCCGGGGGACCAGGAGGCCTGAGGGGGTTGTGGGGACCGCGAGGACTGCGGAGGCCTGAGGGCCGGCGGGAGGACGGGCGGACCGCGGAGGCCGGGCCGCGTCCGGGCAGGGGAGGGGCGGCGGCCTGCGGGCGGCGGCGGCTAACGGGGCCGGGCGGGCGGGCGGGCGCGGCCATGTTGGGCCCGGCCGGGCCCGGCGGCTGCACCTGTGCCCGGCCGGGCCCAGGCGGCCGCCTTTGTTCCCGCTGCGCGGAGCGGGTCGGGCCGGCCTTTGTGCTGCGCCCCGGGTCCGAGGCGGCCGCGGTGGGAGGGGCGGGTTGGGGTCCCCGGGCCGGCGCCGGGGCCAGGGGTCCGGCCGAGGGGCGCTTTTTGTTTGCAGGCGGTGTCCGGCGTTGACACTCGCGGCGCCCGGGCGTTGGTCAGCGCGGGCGCTCCCCGGGGGAGCCGGGCGGCGGTCCGGCCGGCCGTTGGCAGGTGGAGACGGGGGTGAGCCGGGCGAGGGGACCCTGCTGGGGGCTGTCGGCCCGCGCCGCGCCCTCGGCCTCCTGGCCTCCGCCTGCTATGTATGTTCCCCTCGCCCCAGGATGCAGATTGTTAGTCCTTCAAGCCTCGGGACAGGAGACGGACCTGGCGACCGAATGACTGGTTTTGCTCCACTTGCAGGAACCGTGCTTTAAAATCTCGGGGATTAAAAAATGCTGGTCTTGAGTTTCTGTAGAAATAAAATGGATGAGGGTATTGTATAGGACCCATTGCAGCACGAATCTTTCTGTGCCCACAGTGGGCTTTGACATTCAAGTTGAAACACTAAAAACTGATGTGGTGGTGTTAATCATTTTTAGGTAGGTAGTATGTATTTGTGTGTGTTTTTGTACGTACAGTACAGACCCTGTGAAGACATTTGGTAAAGTTCTAGACCTGGCTTAGGAGGAGCTCTTCAGTACTACCCACCTACTTCACAGACTTTCAAGCCTTGATTTTTAAATGAGTTAAAAGCCAAGATCACGCATTGATTATATTGACTCTATTTTATGTATTTTAAATATTATCAACATGGAAAATAACTTAGGAGCCATCCCATTTATGAACGTGGGACTTAAACTGTATAATTTTCCAAAAATGTTGTAAATGCCCTAGTTACATATTTAAATGCGACGAGAGCAACACTATTTTAAAAAGCAGAATGCCAGTAGCGTAAAGGAAGCAAGTTTCTGAGCACAGCCTTTCCTGGTGTACTTAATGTGTGCTCTCATTCCCCACAACTGATGATGGTTCAAATCTAAACTGCCAACTGGAGGTGAAGAGGACTCATGCTTTAAGCACGATTACTTTGAGTCATTTCCTTTTCTTTCCTTCCATTTTCTCAGCCACCCAGCAACCTTCAGTTTTGGGCTGATGGTTGGTAGAGTGTGGACTTACTGCACAATTTTGAGTTTATGTAAGCTTTTGTGAAGAACTCTGATCTCTTCAGTACAAAAATCGTTCCCTCCTGACTGCATTACTACCAAAGATTCTGGCCTCTGATTCCAACAGGAAACATTTAATTTTAAGAGTATGAGGTAATTAACTGAATTTGGAAGAATGATGGGCAGTTTATCTTATATATTCATATGTAACATGTAAACTGATAAAACTTGCGTAGACATAAAGAACAAAATGATAAGGTAAACAGGCTGTAGGTGTGACTTGGTTTGCTTTTATGCAATCAGCTTATACAGGGCTTTTAAACCAGTACCTGCTGAAATGTGGGGACCCAAACGAAGAATTAGTTGGAATCCCAGAATGAATCAGGAAAATAATCTGAAGAGGTAGAAGACTACCCACCCCTCGTAACCCTGTGGGGTTTAGGTGGGTACAGTCTTCTACCTCTTCAGATTATCTTCTTCTAAAAGTTATCAAATATTACAAAGTTTACTTACATGGCAGAATGTGAACTAATTAGTTACTTTTTTACAGTTTGAAGATTCAGTATAAAACATGTAAAAGTAGCTCGAATTAGTCTTACTAAGCTACAGGATTTTCTTTACCAAGTAAGAACTTAAATGAAAAAATGTGCTAAGATGGTGCTGAAGTTCATAATCCAAACATATTTTGTCCTGTGCTATTTTATTTATTTTTAGAGACAGGGTCTCTCTGTGTGACCCAGACTTGAGTGCAGTGGCTGTTTCAGAGGAGAGAAGTCATGGTGCACTTCAGTCCCAAACTCTTGGGCTCAAGTGATTCTCCTGCCTCAGCCTCCTGAGCAGTGGGGACTACAGGCACACGCAACCTTCCCTGGCTCTACTCTGTCCTTTTTAGCTGGGCAAGTGGGCAAATAACCTTTTTAAGTACTAAATACTTCACTTAATCAAAGGGAACAGAAGTCATAAGGCTTTGGTACTCATATATTCTGGTACAGGTTTTTGGTTTTGCCTTTTTTTTTTTTTGGTGGGCTGCTCATGGCCATAGAATGCATACAACTTTGGATAAGCATCTTAGTCTTCTGAGCCTCGTCTCTTTTTTTTGCTTGATTGTAGTAAATGTGACCTTGTTCTCCAAATACATGGTACCATGTCCTAAGTCCAGGCCTTTGTGTGGGCTGTTCATGGGTGTGGACTGCCACTTGTCTTTCCTCTTTGAGCATAATTCATGGTGTTTTAATGGCCACATGTGACCTTTCTCTCCTGTTGGGTGAGCTCTTAGAGGTAGGACACTGTCATTGCCTTGGGCAGCGTTGCCTCTGCTGGTGCCTTCTCATGCAGAGAGTAAGCGCTGAATAAATGGGCATATGGCTTAGGGTAAACAGCCCATTTTAATGTTTGTATCTGGCCTGTTTGCCTCTCTGTTTTGTAAGTAATTGAGCAGAAAGGAACCCTCTGGGAGAAGAAGCTGAATCTAGAAAGGATATGGCTGGGCTGAGGTCCTTTTGAAACATTGCAAGTATATAAATACAAGTAATACGACAGATCTCTACTCCTACCAAGATAGATCAAGAAATTTATCTTGTTGATTTCTCTATCCTTGGTCAAGATAAAATATAACGTACACAGAATACAAAAGCAAGAGATGACACCGGAGCTTTAGAGGATTAGGCTCGTATTTACAAACTGTATGATTTGCTAGTTTCTTTTTTTTTTTTTTTTGAGACAGAGTCTCACACTGTCACCAGGCTGGAGTGCAGCAGCATGATCTTGGCTTACTGCAACCTTTGCCTCCCGAGTTTAAGCGATTCTCCTGCCTCAACCTCTTGAGTAGCTGGGACTACAGGCGTGTGTCACCATGCCCAGCTAATTTTTCTATTTTTAGTGGAGGTGGGATTTCACCATGTTGGCCAGGATGGTCTTGCGTGATCTGCCCGCCTTGGCCTCCCAAAGTGCTGGTATTACAAGTGTGAGCTTCTTTTTTAATGAATGGTTATTTACAGTGAGTACTTTGGGGGATAAAAAGACTTATGTTGGTTACACAGGGACTCTTTAGCATTTTGTATTTGTCTATTAGTTGTTGCAATATTGCTCTTTTCTTTTGAGACAGAGTCTCACCTGTTACCTGGGGTGGAGTGCAGTGGTGTAATCATAGCTCACTGTAATGTAGCACTCTGGGCTCAAGCTCTCCTCCCAGATCAGTCTCTGAAGTAGTTACGACTACAGGCAGATACCACCATGCTTGGCTAATTTAAAATTTTTTTATGGAGACAGTCTTGCCATGTTGAGGCTGGTGTCTGTAACTCCTGGCTTCAAGTGATCCTCCTGCCTTGTCCTCCTAAAGTGCTGGGATTACAAGTGTGAACCACTGTGCCCAGCCAAGTTGCAGTATAGCTTTTTACTTTTTTTTTTTTTT